TTGATGGAGATTGTGATTTCTTTTGATTTTCGCGAGATGCTGTTAACGGCTAGTTTGGAAATATAAACCCTTTTGAGGGTTTTGGTGGAATTTAAATATTGGGGAAATTCTATTAGAGGGCCTAATTTTTAGTAATTGTATTAATCTAGGGCCTGAATTTTTTATTTTTTCAATAGAAGGCTTATATTTTAGGTTATTCTCATTTTAAGGCTTATATTTTAGTTAACTTTTCATTATAAGGCCCAACTAACTTTATTTTTTCATATAAATATGTAAAACAATTATTATGTGAATAAAATATTATTATTGTTATTATTATTATTATTATTATTATTATTATTATTATTATTATTATTATTATTATTATTATTTTATAACTTATATTTTGCATACTTATAATAAAAAGTAATAAATATCTTTAGTAAATTTTTTAATAAAAAATAATTTCAACTTTTTTTTTGGAAGCAAAAGTTGATACTATGTATGCATGTTGAAAATGATATATTTTTGTAGATTGCATATATATATATATATATATATATATATATATATTATTTTTTAGTTTTATTACATATTTATATTATTAATATAAATACTATTTCCATTACATATTTTTTGAATTCACTAAAAAATATAAATTACAAAATAATAATAATAATAATAATAATAATAATAATAATAATAATAATAATAATAATAATAATAATAATAATTTATTCACATAATGGTTGTTTTATATATTTATATGAAAAGGTAAAATTAGTTGGGCCTTATAATGAAAAGTTAACTAAAATGTAAGCCTTAAAGTAAGAATAACCTAAAATGTAAGTCTTCTATTGAAAAAGTAAAAAATTCAGGCCCTAGATTAATACAATTACTAAAAGTTAGGCCTTTTAGTAGAATTTCCCCTTTAAATATTTGATTTGATTGTTATCGACCATTGATGTTGGGCTAAAGTGAAGAAGCTCACAGCCGTTGGATTAGATTGGATTATCATTAGGCCTTATTCTTCTCATATATGGCGGGTAAATTGCGCCAAACCCCTCTGTATTATACGAAATCTGCGCGTTATTCCTTGTATTTTAAAAATTGCGTCATACCCTCTTGTATTATACTTTTGATTGCGCGTTGTCCCCTAAACCGTCTAATTTGACGGATGTGCACTTCACGCGCGTGTGGTGCGACTTTTTCTCTATTTTTTCGCCATAAACTCAGAAAAATGAATATTTTACCCCTTAATACCTGAATTATATGTATATACATTATTATATTGGCAAAATTGCATATTAATACACCACCTTTCATGTTTTTGCAATTTAATCACCACCTTTGTAATTTAGCAATTTAATACACCACTTTGACTATTTTTTGCAATTCGAATCACAGGGCCCCATTTCGGGCTTTTTGTACTGACATGGCATTTTACGGCTGACGTGGCATTGACATGGCATTCAGTATATCAATGACATGGTGTTTTGCGCTGACATGACATTCCATGTGTAAATTCATTATAAAAAAAAATTATGTTGGTCATGGGATTCGAACCTGGGATGTGAGAGTTGCATGGTCACTCTTCCACCACCACACCAATCCAAGTTAGGTGATAAATTTGACAGCGTTTTATATATATAGACATTACATATGAATAAATTAAATCAAATTTAAAAGATAATGTAAATTATTAAATTAATTAATAAAATATAAATTTATAATAAATAAATTATAAAAATTAAAAGAAAATAAAATAAATTAAAATAAACAAGATAATTAAAATATATAACTTTAATTCATATTTTATGCTAGAGTAAAACATATTAATAATATTTGATAATAATATTTCATATTTCATTATATTCATTTAAATTTTTATTGATTTTAGTTTAATGTTTCATAATAAGCTCTTATATTTATTATTTTTATTTTATTTTACTTTACCTTTTTTTGTATTATATTATTTTTATTATATTAATGGTGTACTTTAGTTTAGTTTATTTTTAATTTAAGTTTACATTATTATTTGTCACTTCAAAATTTATATAATTAATTATATTTAACAAATAATATATATATATATATAAATTTAATTTAATTAAGTTTAACCATTTTACTACAATACATTTTATCTTAATTTATTTTATTATTTTAAATTTTTTTATTATTTATAATTTAACTTATTTTAATTTATATTTATTATTTTAATTTAATATAATTTGCATTATCATTTAAATTTAATTTGATATATATATAAAAATGGTTATTAGAATCACCAACTAAATTATATTGGTGTGGTGGTTGTAGAGCTACAATGGAAGCTTAATGTCTAAGATTCAAATCTAATTCTCTCGTCTGGGAGCGTTTCAATTCTTTGATCATCATGTGTTACCAGTTCCATTTCACTGTATTCTTTCTTGATTCTGAATCATCGACCCTCCTCTCTAATAGCTGTGCGAGATTCCTTTTCAAAATTTTTGATTGTTTGGACAAAATCTAGGGTTTCCATGGGTTCTTCGAACTGTGTTGGTCAAGATGATGAATTGGCCCAGAAATTGCAAAATGTCTCTCTTCTATCCAAGGAGAACTCCTTTATTGATCTGGGTCGAAGCGACATCAAAATTAGCGCGGATGAATGTAACCGCAGTCTGTTCGGAAAGATTATCGGCGACAGAGTTACCAGCTGGATCGGGGTTAAAAGAGCTATGAGTCACATATGGAAGCTCAGTCAGCCGATGGAAATCAAGGAGTTGGGCACTAATTACTATCAGTTCATTTTTTAGAGCAAAGAGGACAAAGACAAGGTAGCAAAGGGGGTGAACTGGACGTACGATAACCAGTACCTTATCCTCTCAGAATGGAAGCGGGGCCTTTCGATCAATCATTCCATCTTCAAAGAGCTTAACCTTTGGGTTCAAGTGTTCAATATTCCCCTAGACTGGCTTAGCACTGAAGTTGGTCTGAAAATAGGGAAAGTCTTCAAACAGGTGAAGAACGTGGTTATTGTGGGAGCATGCAGCCATGGCGGTAGAATAATGAGATTGCTAGTTACTGTAGACCTTCAAGAACCTTTACCCCGTTGTGCAAATCTCAGACTGGATGATAAAGCAGTGAGTGTGGGTTTCAAATATGAAAGGCTTATGAACCTATGCCATTACTGCGGCTTCATAGGGCATTTGGATCGAGCCTGCTCAATCAGACTCGATGACATTAAATCTCACTCCCTTCATGAGGGCCAATATGGAGCTTGGATGCGAGCTACTGATTTCAACAGATGGGCAGGCCAACACTCTGCTGGTTCTCAAAGTCCTCCTCACACTGATAGTCCATCATCTCCGCTGAACTCAGAATCTCAAGACCCATTAGCCAAATCCTCTGGGCCCGAAAACAACAAAATTCTCTCTATTGAAGGCTCACCTTCCCAACTCATTAGACAAGACTCTGAAGCTTCATCCTTCCAACCGGTCAAGACCCTGTCTCAAATAAACCCTCATCCACATCCGGGGGTATCTTCTTCTTCAAATATGGCTCCAGAGAATACTCAGCCTGAAATGCAAGACCTCAGTAAGGAAATGGAAATGGATGATATCTTGACAAATGCTGCTATGGAAAAATCCAACCAAATCTCAGTTGCTGGTAAAGCTAATTATCAGCCAAAATTATGGAAGAGATCAGAATCCAGAATGGGGAGGCTGCAAAGACAGGCTATTATTTCTTCTAATCAGGATGCCTCATCCTCTGTAAAAAGGCCAAAAGAATCTGAAGAAAACCTTAAGAAAGACTCTCCTTCTCCTAACTCTGCTCAAGAGGACTTCAAAAAACAAAAAATTGAATCTGGTAAGGTGGGGGTGGCCAGCCTAGAATGGCACCCAAGTGATCAATGCTAGCTGCGGTGTGGAACTGTAGAGGGCTGGGTGGGCCCTCTACAGTTTCCCAAATCAGAGAGACCATTAAGGCTCATCACCCATCTTTTTTCTTTATTTCAGAAACAAAAAAAAAAATTCTGCTTTTGTTAATACTATTTGTAAGAGGCTTGGTTGTGAAGACAGAAAGGTCATTGTTAACCCCCAAGGCCTTAGTGGTGGCCTACTTCTTTTCTGGAATTCAAATGTCATTATTCATCAGCTTATATGTCAGGACTTTTTTATTGCTGTAGAATTCCAGCTTCCTCAATCTGATAAGCAATGGGGGATTTTTGTTTATATGAGTGCCTGCAGGAACAACAGAATTTCTCAATGGGAAATCTTGGAATCTCTTAAGTCTTCTTGGGGGCCTAAATGGTTTGCAGCAGACGATTGGAATGATATTTGTGCAAACTCAGAGAAGGTTGGTGGTATTATCAGAGGAAACTCCAGCTTTCAAGGCTTCAATTCTTTTATCAATAAAATGGAGATGGAGGAAATTCCAATGATCGGTTACCAGTATACTTGGTGCAACAATAGAAGCTCAGAAGAAGCGGTGGAAGAAAAACTGGACAGAATTTTTGGCTCTATAGAATGGATGCTTTCTTCCCCAAATGCCAAAGTTCTGAATATGGTCAAAAGCTCCTCTGATCACTCCTTATTACTACTCAACTCAGGAGATCCTAGCTGTAAAATCCCTAAAAGATTCACCTTTGAGAAGAGATGGATTGGCATGGCAGGGTTCACAGATACAGTTCACAAAGCTTGGCAGTCCTCAGTGGAGGGTACTCCTTTCTTCATTCTTAAAGAAAAAGTCAAGCTCACCAGGGTGGCCTTACTGCAATGGAGTTCTTCCTTTCACTCTGAGAATCAGCTCATTATCAAATCCCTTACTCAAAAACTGGAAGAGCTGAGAGAGAACAAGGCCAACTCAAATTGGGAAGATTGGGAGAACACCAGGAGAGACCTCAATAGAGCTCACTGCTTTGAGGAGAGCTACTGGCAACAAAAATCCAAGAT